ACTAATCCTTAATATGGTCTGTACAGCCATGTGTAATCCAGCTTCTCCACAGCTGCCCACCTTCATCCTACACTGCTCGACCTTTTGTTTTTCTTATGCCTAACAGCACTGCCCTTCCTGCTACTGCCTGACTTGTTTGAACTCCCTTCTCCCTGTACCTGGGAAGCCATCCTTCAGACCTCAGCTCCAATGGTATTTTCTCATAGAGGTATTCTAGGTTCCCTAGACTAAGTCAAAAATTCCTGTATTGTTAAAAAAAACTACAACCCTTGGGTCAACAAGTTGGCTCGTCAGATAAGAATGCTTGCTGAACATGCCTGAGGACATCTGTTGGCTCCCAGGAACCCACATGGTGGAGAGATCCAAATCTCACAGGCTGTCCCTCTGACTTCCATGTGTGCTATGGCATGTACACACACACACACACACACATACACACACACACACACACAATAAATATGAAAGATAAAAAACAATGGTTTCCACGGCACCCGCATTTTCTTTTCTCAGCATTTCTATTCTAATTCCAGGGGCAAGTTTCATCCATACACCTCTTACCTCCAGAGGCTCTTCTTGGGCCACCTGCTCGTTCAGCTTCTGAGTGTAGGCATCACAGATTTCAGTCACTTGCACAAACCCTTGGAGGCCATTGGGAAGACTGATCACCAGCTCCAGTTCATTCACCTCTTTCACACAACCCAAAATTCGCATTCCCTCACACAGGGACTAGAAAGGAAAACATACATAGTAACTACATACAGTAAAGCAAACAACAATGACGGCAGTTAGGGGGACTTTGGCTTTCTGTCCCAACACCAATACTAGAGATTCTATAAACAAAAGGAAAAAACAGGCATGTGTATATATATATATATTCAAGCATATCAGCTATCTGGCTGAACGCCAGGAAAGGTCTTGATCAGGCAGGGCTACAGTGCTGGACAGATAGAGGTGCCAGCACACTCTACATACCCTAGCAGCCCTCATGCAGAACACCTAGACAGCATGGGAAGGAGACAGACCACTGAAGCAATGGCAGCCTAGAGTGTGCCTGTCTCTTCTAGAGGGTACAACCATGACACAGCTTCCTGAGTCCTAAAACATGGGGGAAAATGGGCTTTCTTTTGTTAGCAGTTTGAATTTTCATGGGACCAGCATCACATTTTTACATGAAATCTCTAGTTTTCTAAAGTATCACCAAGTTAAACAAATTTTTAAAAATATTTCTGCAGGCTGATGAATTACCCCCAGAATAATATAACTATTTTTCTATTTTAAAAAGAACATATATTGGAGGATGAAGGTGAGGATAATATAAAATTTTAAGAACCGTAAGACCACACCGTTGATCTGAGGCCATTTCACATCTACATAATGCATGAGCTGAGGTCAGGCATGGTTGGACATATCTTTAATCTTAGTATTCAACAGACAGAAGCAGGAATATCTCTATTAATAGGAGGTCAGCCTGGTCTGCATAATGAATTCCAGGCTAGTCAAGGGTTAGACGGTGTGATTCGGTCTCTAGTTATAACTTCTACTAAAACACAAGCAAAATCACACATATCTAACCATTTCCATAATTTGTTTCTTGAGACAGGGTCTTGTGCATCTCAGACTAGCCTGGAACTCACAGTTAAGGATGACTGACCTAGCCCTGGTTCCTAAGTGCTAGGACTACAAGCATGTACCACCACACCTAATTTATGTGATGCTGAGGCTCAAACTCAGGTAGACAGAGAGTGGGGATAGGGGACAGATGGGAGGAAGGCTAGCTACACACAGTACTCCCTTTACATGGGAGGTGGAGGTCCTTGCCTACATAAACAGGTCAGACAGCATAAGTCCTGACCTCAAAAAACCCCCAAATAGAGCCAGGCAGTGGTGGCACACGCCTTTAATTCCAGCACTCGGGAGGGAGAGATAGGCGAATCTCTGTGAGTTCAAAGCCAGTCAGGTCTACAGAGTGAGTTCCAGGACACACTCCAAAAGAAACCCAAACACACACACACACACACACACAAAAACAACCACATAGAAAGACACCAGGCAGCACTGGTTAATAAGCTCACTTCTCATAATTTGCACTTGTCTCTATAGACACATACAGAAAACATAATTGCGTGCACATATGTATATAAGCAAAGAATGAAGGAAAAGAGGGAAGAGCACACACACTTAAACAAGGAGCATGTTAAAGAGAATACCAAGTATTACAAACCTCAACACTGAGGATTTCAAATTTCTCTCTCACAGATTTCTTGGAGTCTCTCTTTTCAGTTTTCAGTTTTTTTGTTTTCATGGGCCCTTTCTGGCTCTTTTTCCTTTTAGTGGATTCTTCTGTGGAGATCTTAAGAGGAAAAAAGATTCACGGATGCAGAAGACTGATACGCAGCGATCTTAGCTGTCACCACAGGTCTGGGGTCCTGTTACCTTGCTCTGTTACTTTACTCCCCCAGGCCACCCCCCCATTGTCTTCATTTCTGCTGCAGTCCCAAGCCCAGTATCCAGGCGCCAACGTTCCCCTTGCCCAGGGTCCGAGAAGCCTCCTCCAACTTCCCAATGTCTCTTCTGTCCTGCATGCTTCCTCTGGTGAGCAGGGTGGACACTGGGGTTCCCTAGCTTGAGAAACCACGTGTCACGTGGAAATGGAGTCCCGAGGCTCAGGAAAAACTGCAATGCTTTTCTAGAACAAGCTTTATGCTTTCAACAAAATATATACCTTCCCTCCAGCTCAGTTTCTCAGCATGGAACAATGACTTCTACTCTAGAATACATATGGAGAGATTCTGTAATACTGATGACCTAAGGCCACACATTGCTAAATGGTGGTTTTCCTTCTTTCCAGCATTGAGAGTACAAACCACTCTATGAGACTGAATTCTAATGTAAACTCTCCTTACTAGGACTCCTTTTAAATAAATGCCCAATGATTAGAACTGAGGTAAAGGAGCTCAGGAGAAGACAACTTGCCTAACATGCACAAGGTCCTCGGTTCAAGCCCAGGAGCCACAAACAAAACAAAAATTCACTATCAAATCCCTTTTGTCCCTCCTTAATCAACTGACACAGACTCCCTAAGGACAATTTACAAAAGCATTTCAACATCAAACACAAAATGTCATACTTCAAAAGAAGCCTGAGGTGGCAGAGACTCTTGAACAAGTTCATTTTCTAAAAGTGACATCAAAGAGAAACAAACTGGAACATAACTGCTGCCAGCGAGGCTCAGTCTTCCCGGAGATGCTACCAAGTTTCTGGTCTCACCAAAGCAGCACATCACTTACATCAAATAAGTTGTCTTGTTCAACTGCATGCTGGGAAGGTTTCTCTGATTTGTGGCTTTTTCTTGTACCCCCTCGGGGGAAGTTTTCTTCCAGGTTTGCCATGTTTGGGTCTCTTAAAGCTGATAGAAAGAATAATGGTGAGCTGTAGCATTTGGGGGCAGGTTTCATAAAGAATGTGATTCATGGCAAGAGAACCTTCTAGCAAGGCACTAAACAAGATTCAAGAGTACGTTATATATAGTTGATATGCCAGGTTCTTGTTAATCCTTGTCTTTCCAACTTTGTATGCCTCAAAACCATGAACTATACACTATGTACCATCTTCCAGGAAAGAATTCAATATAGTAAATGTTCATTCAATATTAATTATTGTAATTATGTCAGGTATGCGTGCATCTATGCATATGTGTGTATATAAATACAAAATGTAAGTAATTTAAAATACAAATCAAAATTATAAAGCATAAACAAAAAAGTGACAAGATTCAGCAAAGGGGGCAAGTTTCATGAGAAAGATGCTTCTGAGCTGAATGTTCAAGAAGTAGGAAGCCAGGTCTGGTGGGCCACGCCTTTAACTCCAGCACTTGGGAAGCAGAGGCAGGCCTATCTCAAATATCAAAAATTAGTTATCAAAAATAACTAATAATAATACATAGAAATATGGTAAGTAGAAAATGTGGGAAAAAAAAAACACTGAAAAAAGCCTATTTCCCAAAACATACCAGTCATTTGCCTATCAAATAACTGTTCGAAGGGCTTCTTTAAAAACTGAACACTCAAGGAAACCACGGGGCAAATAAAGCATAATAACAAGTTACATTTTAGAAATCAACTTGGGCTCTTTGGTGGAAGATTATTAAAAATAAGTAGCTTGTGTTTACTTGTACTTCAGAGACTTGGGGGAAGTGTCAGAATAATGAAAAACAACATTCTTCACTCTACAGACCGGAGAGAAAAAGAAAGAAGTGAAGGCAAGTAACTCAAAGGCAAATTTTAGAAACTGAGTGTAAGGGTTGAAGAGACAATGAGCAGGTCATGGGAATCAGGGCTAGATATAAATGAAGACACAAGACCGGTTGCTTGATTCTGAGATACCCGGGGATAAAAATTCAGTAACAGCGTGAGACTGAAAGAAGTGACAACCGAGAAGAAATGCAGGATTTGGTCTGCATGGGTGCATGCTTCAAAGAAATACTGTAGCTCACGAGGGCCACTGTGCTGGGAATCCAACCCTTAATTCCCATTTTAGACCCGATGAGACTGAGGCGCCAAAGAGCCTGGCGATCACGTGCAGAGAAGGCACTAAGGGTACCTGAAGTGGACAGCCTGGCTTACAAGAGCTGCTAAGGCAAAAAGGGGCATGGGTGGAGAGACCACCCATGCCGACTCAAGGGTGCGTAGCAGGAAGGCCGGAGACCCGGGACAGGAAGCCGAGGTGGGAGCCATGAGGTCTCCTCCCTCTCGCCGAAGCTCCCGGATCCCAGACCCGCCGCTCCCGCGACTGCCTACCTCACTGGCCGGTTCGAAGCGATCGCACGCGCAGGAAACCGCGCCAACAGCCCCACGCCGCTCTCCTAAAGGCGTCAGCAGGATCCGTTCTACTTCCGTTATGAGGACCAGTCAGACTCCGGCCGAGACAGGAAGTAGGGGGGAGGGACTTTTCATGATAGCCAATCAACGCAGAGGGCCGAGTCCCCGCGGCCAGTCCGTCGCGTGGGGGGAGGGGGTGTCTTCCGGTCGGGCCGAGCTGGTGGTTGGGTTTGTTGAAGGACATCAGCTGCGGAATTTGTGATTTGAGCGAAGGTGGGTGAGAAGGGGCTCTCGGCTGTTCCGGCCGGTGACTGGGCTTCGCAGGGCCGACTAGAACCTGGCCGTTTCCCCCGTCTCGCATTAGCGAGAAGTCTTCGCTTTGCGGGGAGTGGACGGTGAGGAATGGGAATGGCGCTGGAGAAAATGAGGGTCAGGGCCCTGCGGTGCGTCTGGGAAGCCTCAACACCTCGAGGTGCATGCGCCCCAAGGCTCGCACGGTTGGCGGAGAACCTTATATTCCATTTTCCAGTTCGAGGGTGAGACCCGTCGAGAAGGGAGCTCCCCAAGGTCATCCTACAGTGTTGGAAGCGATCTCTGGCTTCTCACCCCATCTCTGGCTAAATTCTTTGTTTTGGCTTATATGGCCATAACTATTTGTTTTCTCTGAGCTGCAATCAGGAAGCCAGCCCTCCCTTAACTGCGCGGCAGTCTTTGTCAAAACTAGAGTAAAGGGCCATTCGCAGAGTGGCCCTTGCGAATCTTCAGGCCTGGGCGCGATTAACGGGTTAGATTTAAGTCCATGTTCCGGAAGTAGTCAGCTTGTGGTTCGCGACCCCCTTTCTCAGATATTTATCTCCAAAAATATTTACATTACGATTCATAACTATTAAAATGGCAGTTATGAAGTAGCAACGAAATTAATTTTATGATTGGGGATCACCGCAACAGGAGCTGTATTAAAGGGCCGCAGTATTAGGAATCGGTGGAAAGGGTTCTACAAAAAAAGCTCTTGCTTGTAGACCCTGGGCGCATTTGAGGCGACTTTCCTTTACTTAGACCTGGTCATCTTGGTACTCCAGAAAGGTGTTTTGTTAGACAGGAGAATAGCAATATCCAGGAACCGATTCCGAAGCAAGGGCAACTGGTCACCTTAAGCCTTTAATGAAACACCCATTTCACAGGAAGAGAGGCATGGAGAAGACTGGTTGTTTTGGGGTTATTTAAAAACAAAATCTATCTGCTTAAACTTTCTAACGGAATGCTGTTTAACGATAGTAAATCTTTAAAAATAATAAATCACAGGTTCACAAGTATTAGTCTTAGGTGATCTTTTCACTATTGAATGACTCTAAACTTGCTTGTGATTTCAAGGAGAACACATTTTAGTTCATTTATTCCTATTGCCAGGTGTGACTGACTTATGCCTTTAATCCCAAAGCTATCGGGCTGATCTCTGAGTTCAAGGCCATCCTGGTATATGCAGTGAGTTCCAGACCATCTGGCTTTGCATATTGAGACCCCGACTTTAAAAAAATAAAAAAATCACATAAAGGGCAGTTTTAACAAAAAGGTTCCTGGTCATTACCCCAAAACAATATTCGGTTTGTTGGAAGGTACAGACCTATAATGCTTTAAGCCTCAATGTGACCATTGTTTGCTGACGGTGGTGCACGCCTTTAATCCCAGCACTGAAGAGGCAGAGGTGGGCAGACGTCTGTAAATTCAAGGCCAGCCTGGTCTGAAGAGTGAGCTCCAGGACAGCCAAGGCTACACAACAAAGAAATCCTGTCTTGAAAAGCCAGATGATAATACCATTGTTTATCTCGCCAGCAACATTACTATTCTTCCTCCATCTAAGCTTCTTTAAGACCCCAGTTCCTATACCATGTCTTTGTTCTGAAGTCAGAATTAGTTGTCTTTGGAATACATTCATCCTTGTTCCAGTGTCTTGTAGAGTGACGCTGACAGCACCTCAGCACTGGCCCACCCTGCGAGTTTCTGTAAGGTTTCTCGTGAGAACCCACTTCATAGCTCTAAGAAACATCGTGAAATGCATGGAAAGCATGTGCTTTCGTAGGGTTAGGAAAGGGAAACTTGACAAACTATGAAGTTGTTTGTTTGTTTAATGGTGATTTTTTTCCCCGCTTTGGCTATATTGGCCAAGGTCTGTGAAAGGGACCCAAAGAAGCTTAGATTTCCTTCACTGTTCCAGTAACCATTTTGAAAATGTTCAAAATTGAGGTCTGAAATTTGTTGCGAGATCTTTGAGTATGAATGCCTCTGAAGCCCTTTGAATGGTAAACAAAGGGGATGCCAGTTTCCCATAGCAACAGCACCCTTACTGTTCTGTTCTCTCCTACTTCCATTTCATCTAGAGCCACCCAGTCTGCCAGTCTTGCCTGGACCTCGACCAGCTAGTCCAAGTTGTCATTGGGGTCTGTGGCTCAGTCGTGGTAGGTAGGCAGTAGTCATACATACAAAACTTTGAGTGGTTTTTAATTCTGCTGTGGCTTTCTGGACTTGTGTCTGCATTTTCCTTTTCCCTCACTGTCCTCTCCATCCACCCCACCTAACTATTATGGTCCCCTCCTTACAGCCAAATAGTGCCCCATCTCCCTTCATGTATATCAAACAGCTTCTTTTTCTCTCCCTCTCCTCACACCCTTAAAATCTCTTCCTCCTTTATCAAGGTCCCCTTTCTGTTTTCATGATTTAACACAGACATACATATACATATATGCATATATATTTAAGTTTGGGGTCTATATACAAGAGAAGATACTGGATATTTGTTCCGAGTCTGGCTTATTTAACGCAATGATCTGTTGTACCCATTCTCCTGCTTGCATCATAATTTCATTTTGGGGGCCAGGCGGGGTGGTGGCATGCGCCTTTAATTCCAGCACTTGGGAGGCAGAGGCAGGCAGATCTCAGTTTGTTTGAGGCCAGACTGCTCTGCAAAGTAAGTTCCAGAAAAGCAAGAGCTGTTACACGGGGAAACCCTGTCTTGGAAAAAAAAAAAAAAAAAAAACAAGAGAAAGGGGAAAAATTTTTTTTTCCATTTTTCTCATGGCTGAATAATTACACAGCAGATACGTACAACATATTCTTTATCTACTCATCTGTTGACAGACAACCAGGCTAGTTCAGTTTTGCTTGGTGAATAGTCTAGCGGTAAACATGGTTATGCAAGTATCTTTGCGGTGCTTTGATTTAGTCTTTCAAGTATATACCGAGTGGAATAACTGGGTTGTATGGTAGTTCTGTTGTTTTTTGAGAATCGGCCACACTGACTTGCACAGAGGCTGAACCAGTTCACATTCGTGCCAGCACTGTGTAAGGATCCTCTGTCTCCCATTTCACCCGTGTGTTGTCGCTTTTTTAAAATGCAGTTTCTCACATTAAAAGAAATAAAGCTGGATGGTGGCACAGGCCTTTAATCCCAACACTCTGGAGGCAGAGTCAGGCAGATCTCTGTGAGTTCAGGTCAGCCTGGTATACAGAGCAAGTTCCAGAACAGCCAGGGCTACACAGAGAAACTCTGTGTGGCCGGTGGGGGGGGGGGTGCTGCTGTATTTTCTCCAGAGGTTTCCCCATATAATTATTGAGCATTAAACATTTTTCTGGTGTGTGTGTATATTGTGTGTGTTAAAATTATTTAGAGGTCGTGTGTGCGTGTATGTGTGTGTTAAAATTACCTAGAGGTCTTATAAGACAGATAACTGGACCAGGGTTTCTCATTCAGTATGTCTGTGGTAGGACCCGAGGATCTGCCACAAGACAGGATCTAACAAGTTTCCAGTGGGTCTTTAGCTGCTACTTTAGGAGCCAGACTTTGAGAGCCATTGATGAGCCCTGAAATACCCAGAAGTAGAATTGATTTTTAGCATCACTTGGGGCCTCCTTCCATGTGGTACACCGATAGGTACATAGGTTCCTTCAGTAGTAGTTGTCATTTATCAGTTCATGTTGGATTTCTCGTCTTTCCACTTTTGTAAACTGTTCAGTAACAATCTGTGAACCATATATTTCTACCTTGTGATATTTCTGAAAAGGTGAATTCTTGGAGGAGAAGTGTCCCAGCTAGATAGAAGGGTATATTTATTATATAATTTGACAGACACTTTAAATGTTATAGTTTATGCGCCATACAGTATTAAACCCAAGTTGTAACAATGCTTATTGTAAGTAAGTTCGGAGTTAGGGGCGTGGCCTCATATTTAGCCTGCAACTCAAATCAGCCTACCTCAGCCTCCCTTGTGCTGAGATTAAAGACCTGTGCCACGCCAAGCTGATCTTAATTGCTTTGTGAGGTTGACTCTCCATTTTATATTTCCTTTCCTTTAGATTTCCCTTTGCAAAGACAAGTAAAATATTTGACAATATTTCTTCAAGAGGTTTTAGCTCCATTGTTTACAGTCAATTCCTTTATCTGTTTGGGTATAAAGAGTAGGTTCCAGCTTCAGAAACCACTGTTGACTGATACAGTATCATCAGTAACTGGTCTGTCTCCCGTGGAAGTCCTAAGTGATTTATAGTGAGAAAAGCTGTGAGAATGTTACTCTCTTCAGTTGGTGTTTACCACTGAGAAAACGTGAAAAGCATTACAAGCTCCAACTTTCAGCTGGTCTTTAAAGTGATTTAATTCAGTGTTTACTATATATAACACAGGATGGATAGAGAATGCGAACATTAAGTTGTACCGAGTCAGAAGACATTTAAGGACAACTCTTCTCTTCCTCTGCTAACTGTTCTGGAGTACTTAGAAGAGCAATGGGGGATGGTCCTAATAACAGTCCTTACTAGCTAGGCTTTTCCCACCAGCTCTGCTATTGCAATGTCAGCTAAACCACAGAGATGACATAGGTTTTGAAACTGAATTTTTATTTTCTTATAAATTACACCCAAATCAATATTTTGTTCTTTTTTTTGTTTGTTTTTTTAAGATTGAAGTCATGGCTGGTCCTGAAAGTGATGCCCAGTTCCAGTTCACTGGTATTAAAAAGTATTTCAACTCCTATACTCTCACAGGTAGAATGAATGTAAGTATTAATTACATCTTTAAGCACTTATATCTTCGAATAAAAGAGATATGACAACTTTCACTTGCATCTTTTTTTCTCAGTGTGTTCTGGCCACATATGGAGGCATTGCTTTGTTGGTCCTATACTTCAAGTTAAGACCTAAGAAAACTCCGGCTGTGAAATCATCATAACTGGTAAGTAATTGCCATTCTAAAGTTTGTAACTTAGCCATCTGGTGTCAAGGTTTTTCTCTTCCCTTATATAAAAAAAAATAATAATAAACTATTGGCACTCTGAAAATTATTGCATACCTGAAAGCAAACACTGGATATAATACATCTGTAAGCACAACAGTGGGGAACAGGGACAGGATTGCAGGTTGAAGAACAGCTTGTGCTACATAGCAAGACATGGTCTCAACACAATTGAGAGCGAACAAGGAGTTGGGTGTAGTGTCTCATACCTGTAATCCCTGCAGCACTGGGGAGAGTGGCGCAGGATGGTCTTGTGAGTTTGAGTCTGCTTTGACTCCAAAACAAAACAACCCACCAGAGAAAGGTATACAACAAAATGGTATTTTCTCAAGCCTAAGTGCTTTCCCAGAGGATTATGGAACACCTAGCTTTGTAAGAGGGTGTGTCTTTTTTGTCAGCTGGTATAGACTGGTTTTTCCTAAATTGGCATGTTTAAGAAAAATTGTCTTTTAGGCTTTGTTGAAGTATTTTTTTCTCTCACCATTTGTCTCTTAATACAATTAGATGACTTCTATCTTTTATTTCTGGGAGCTTATTTATGTATTTGCACACTCAACATGGTGTGGAAGGGAGCTGGCTCTCTCCCCCTTGTTGAGGCGGGTCTCATTTCTGCTGTCATGCTGCACTGTGCATTCCCAGCCAGCTGGTGTGCACTACAAACTGGCTATCCTATCCTCCCCCAGTCTCTTCATCAGAGTGCTAGAATTACAAATGTCACTGCATCTGGCTTTTTTTTTTTGTTTTTAACAAATTATTGGGATCAGACTTAAGTTTTCCTAGTCCCCTCAGCTCAACTATACGCTTATGTAATTTGGTCGGGTCTTGTTTATAGCCCAAATGGTTTCACAGTTGTGGCAATTCCTCCTCAACCTGCTGAGTTTTGAAATTACAGGCATGTGCCACCATGCCCAGGGCAGAGGTGGGGATAACCAGAGCCTGGACAGTGGCTCAGTGGTTAAGATCAAGTACTGTAAGAATAGACTACTTGAGTTCAGATCCCAGCACCCATGCCAGGTAGCTCAAAAGCTGTAACTCCAGGCCATCTAAAACCCTTCTCTGGACTCTCATACAGAAACACACATGAAACTTGTGGTACTGGGGATCAAACCCAGGGCCTTGGCAGGTGCTAGACTGCCACTCTGCTGAATGACAGCCCCAACCCTAACCTTTAGTATATGAAGTTGCAAGTATTTGCTGGTTTCTGGTAGCTTTATATTTTCATAGAATACTGGGATTTCCCCCTGAAAAAAAGCCTTTAAGGTTTTCTTACAGACCCCTTCGATCCTTTTTGCCTATCCAGAAGTCAGTAAATGTGGTGTTAGCAGCACCTGTGCAGAAAGCCAGAAGGCTAGAACTCTGTCGAATGCTTTCTTCACTTATTTTTGTTCTGCTCTTAAAAGCTTTACCCATCTTAAGTCTGTTAAAAGTAGGGGACTATGTAGTCCAGTACATTCTTATACCTTTTTGGGTACTTTGCCCAGTTTTCTGCATGAAATTACTTCTGACTTTGGGAGGGTAGTATATCTCCATAAAAACTTTATCTTGAACCGAGCACTGTTGGCACACGCCTGGATTCGATCCTTCAGGAGGCAGAGGTTGGTGGATCTCTGAGTTCGAGGCCAACCTGGTCTGCAAGAACTAGTTCCAGGACAGCCAGGACTGTTAAACAGAGAAACCCTAACTCGAAAAACAGAAAACTATCTTGAAAACAAAAGTAGTAGACACTGTATCTTTCCTACTGACTCTGATGAATTTATATTTTATCTTGGGGAGTAGTGATAATTACTGACTGTCATAAAAATAGAGTGGAACACATTTATATCAAACTGTTTTTGCTGTTTTGTAGAGTCTTTCAATGTCTGACCTCATCTGTTAAGTTCCATGCCTGAAGAAGCTGATGTCAACTCATCATGTAATACTCAATTTGTACAATAAATTATGAACCTGGAAAAGCTGGTTGTCTTTATTTACAAGATATCAAAAATATAAAACTGTACAAAATGCAACAAAGGCAAAAACTGGCAGTGACTTGGTCTAAATCTCTTAGTTTTCCAAAGCAAGGCTCAGTACTGGAGGTAAGCAACTGAAATGTCTGACTTCAAGTGTACTAGGTCGTATGTAGCCATGTCAGTTGAAGTAGAGTATGGGATTTAGATCTCTTCACCTGGTCTGTAGAGTGAAATCACTCAGAACTTACAAGGTAGCAATTGAGATGTCAGTGGCTGGTTGGTACTTCTAGGTCTTAGAAACTGTAGTTCCTACCCAGTCACATATATCCCACTAGTCATGGTGAAGGAAAGCATGTTAGTGGGTAGTTTACCATAGTGCTTGCGTGCCGTACAGTAACTTCATTTTACAGCAGACACACACATGCTCATAGAGCTCTTCAGCTACTCAAGATGGTACTGTATTTCTTAGTTTGAATCTTGAAGCAGAATAAATTGTTTAAATCAAATTGATTTCCTTTCTAAACATAATAAATTAAAATAGCATTTGAACAGAAAAATGCATAGTTTCCACACAATCCAAAGCACCATAAATGTCCCCTCCATGAACATAATACCTCTTATTCAACTAACGGAAATTAGTTCAATGTGGTTGCTAGAGAAACGTGGAACTGTCCTGTTCAGATTTTCCAAGCAGCATACTCCCAGATCCATGTAGACAAAAACATTCTTTGTAGCTTAAATACTAATCACTGAGGTATTTGCTTTTTAGTCTCCCTTTTCAAACAGTAGCTTCCAAAAGGTCTCTAATACCGCTGGTTTATTGCGGACTGTAAGCTCCTGCAGCTAGAACCAAGTTTCTTCGAGTAAAATGTAGGTGTACAACTGGTGTTGATTTGGTCATATATGTACCCAATAATAACTCCTGGGAATTCTCAGGTAGGTTTATATGCCCAGTGGCGGTAGTAAAATCATCAGTCTCTAAATCTTCAAATGCTTTAATGGCATCCCATAACCGGACTGTATTATCCATTGAACCTAAAAGAAAGCCAAAGAAAATATTAGTGTCCATCACATCTAGAGTCTGACATTTCCCATGTATACTTTGTATTTGCCTTATTTGTTTTTATGAAAACTAAACCTTTACCCCAAAGCCATTAAAATAATTTACCTGATGCCAAAATTTCACCATCTCTACTAAACCTAAGTGAACACACTGTATCAGTGTGGCCTTTTAATTCTCCAACCATCAAGCCATGTCCAATATCCCAAAGAAGTACTCTGCCATCTGTTGCTCCTGTAGCCAGGAATCTCCCATTGGGAGAAAATGTCAAGGAATGAATTGGTCCCTAGAAAAGTGCAAAATAAGGTTAAGTATATCTGATAAGGCCAAGACAACTGTAGTTTAGTGGCATGAATTCTACCTTTAAAGCGTGCATGTTGCTAGTTACTATTTTGACTCTGAAAGGATCTGTGTGTGCTGGAATAATGACGGAGTAAGATACCTTATGTCCAGTGAAGATCCTGACACAGTTACCATTAAGCACATCCCAGAGCCGCACAGTTCTGTCTGCAGAGCCCGTAGCAACATAGTTCGAATTTGGATGAAATCTAGTACAATTCACATCAGCAAGATGTCCAGCAAATATCCTTAAAGGCTGATAGTGATCTGTAGCCCAAAGCCTTTTTGAAATTAATGGAAAATAAGAAATAATAGTAATTAATTGAAATAAAATTTAACCCAAAAAACTGGTACATCCAGATGAAAGTCAATTCTCAATAGCACCTCCTTGCCATCTTAACTGAAGGAAAGACAACAGAAGATTGGGCCTAGTTTGAGACAGGGTCTCACTATGTAGCCTTGGCTGTTTTGGAACACAAGATATCTGCAGATCAGGGTGGCCTTAAACTTGGCCCCCCCTACCTTAATCTTCCAAGTGCTAGGACTAAAGGCATGTGCCACCATGTCCTGTTCTAGAGTGCTGGGATTATGGGCATGGAAATTCCTTTTATTTTTGGCTTTTAGAAACAAGGGGTTCTCTGTGTAGCTCTGGCTGTCCTACAATTCACTTTATAGACTAAGCTCTGCCTCCCAAGTGCTGGGATTAAAGGAATCCACCACCCAGTTTATATAATATTATTTTATGTGCATTGGTGTTTTGCCTACATGTATGACTGTGTGAGGGTGTCGAATCCTCTGAGACTGGAGTGACAAGACAGTTCTTAGCTGCCATTTGAGTGCTGAGAATTGAACCTGGGTCCTCCAGAGCAGCCAGTGCTCTCGACCTCTGAGCCATCTCTCTTGCCAGCATGTAAATTCTATGATTCTTTGTATACGCACTGCTTCCCACTCCTAATGCACAGAAAATCATTTTCCTGTAGTTTGGGTAACTACATAGTTTCTAGCAATAATTTCGCCAATAGAAACTTTATGATAACAGGAGACAAAAAGGTGCTCATAGTGGGAATGGGAAACGACGCATCTGATGTAAGGAACATGTTATAAATTACATTAAAGCAGGACCCTTAGTGTACACATAATGAAAGACACAGTATTATTCTTCCTCACATTCATTTCAAACTACGTCAATAAATGCTTATCTTCTCAAAGTCAGTCCTGATTGCATGAATATGAAGTTTGCTGGACTTTGTATTCCCAACAAGAATCAGTTATGTTCAGTGAATAAACCCCATGAGATCATAGTGTTCTTACCGAGCTACTCGGTCATGGCCTCCTGACACAAAATAATATCCATATGGAGAGAACTGTGTGTCCCATACTGGGTAGTTGTGTCCTTTATATCCCACCAAGCAAGTAAACGTCTGAAGGCTCCAGAGTCTAACAGTTCCATCCTCTGAAGAGGAGAGCAGATAGTTCCTGAGGAAAGGAGGTGATATGTTTGATTTACAGAATAATTTGGTTACCTGTTCAAATTTTTTCTCATTCTCACATTTCAGCAAATGACTTAGACCTAGGTATATCTCAGTGTGTGCACACATACATGTGGAGATGTGCAGATAGTGCTGAGGACTGAACCTCAGGCCTTGAACATGACAGGCAGGAAATTCTAACACTGAGCCCCCTCACCTGTGTGTGTGGTATGAGGTATGCATGGGCATGTTCAGGTGTCTTCCTTGAGCAATCTCCCAGATGAACCCAGAGCTTGTCAGTTTTCTCCAGAGATCCCATCTCCAGCTCCAGAATACTGAGATTACAGGAGGGCTGCCATGCCAGTCCAGCATTTATGTGGGTGCTGGGGAGCCAAAATCTGGTCTTCACACTTGCATGACAAGCACTTTACCACCCACTGAGCCATCTCATCCCCACCTCTTTATTTATACTTAGAATCAAAAGCTAAAATTATTAAACTAATGTTAAAATGAAATACTGTCATATTATATTCTGAGCATCAACTATATGAAGCTAATTATTAAAAAAATATATAGTGATTATGGGGAGGGGGTCACAGTACTTTAAAAAAGAAAAATAGTAAATAGTCTGATAACTCATATGTATGATCTCAGAATTTGGGAGATTGAGGCAGGAGGCTTGCTGCAAATTCAAGGCCAGTCTGGAATACAGCATGAGACTCCATTTCAAAACACCAAAAAAAAAAATTATAATAATATTCAGAATAATAAAAAGTTTGTTTACCAAGACAGCCTAAAAAACAAAGTGTGTCAATTTTGGATATTATTTCCTATCTGCATGGGCTCTATTTAAAAGAAAAGGAGTGGAGTGTAATTCAGTAGTAGAGTACTAGAGTCTAGCATTCAACTAGACTACTCCCATGCAAAACAATAATGATCTACTTTTCCAGGGATAAATACAAAAGTCAACTGTTTTCACTGAAATCAGACATTTCTTCAAGTAAAATGTACCATCTGGTTAAATCACTATTAAATATATATTTTTATTCCCAAGATCTCACAAATACAGTTAAAACTCTGGTGGTTGAAAACTACTAACTATCCAAGTAGAATACAAATGATAATATGGGTGAAAATACCCTCTTCCAGTCATTTTTGCAGAAAGAAATGAAAATCGAGAAATAACTAAACACATATGGTGCTATTATTTCAGAACATGATCTGGCTAAATTGCCCAGCTGACCTTAAACCACAATCCCCTTGCCTTAGCCTCCAGAGTAGCTGGGATTACAGGCACTTACCACCACACCCAGCTTTCTTCATTCTTCCCATTATAGAACGCTAATGCTTCAGTAGACAGCTATTAATGCCATTAGTATGAGGAATTTGTGTTAAATTTTACAAAGTGCCACAAGAACAACCCAAGAACTCAAGGAATTCAACCTCTAATTAGAGGATTATTCAAAGATAAAGCTAAATTTTGAAACCAGTAAGCTCCAAATGTGCACCTTGATTCTGTAAATTTAGCATATACTTAGTTGCTATTTTATATACCAGTACTCCAAAATAAGCAAATTTAAGATTCTAAAAGATACTGAACTACAAGCAATCATGATGTTTTTCTAAAAAGTGTCTACGCATTTGCATCTTATTTCCAGCAGTTAACTTTTAAATCTCAATACTGTTTATCAGTATTTAATTTTGTTTGTATTTTACCTATCCGGACTGAAGCTGGCTCCATAGACAGGCCCACTGTGACCATACAAAATCTTCAACTCACTTGCAGTTTTCTCATCCATGATTCTTTCTAAGACATCATCTGATTCTTTGTCTATAAGACTAAGATCTAAAAAGGTTCAGAAATATTATTTTAGGTTCGTTCATTAAAACACTTTAAGGCAATCCATCATAGCTCAGAACTAACATTTCAACATTTCTTCCTATACACCAATAACCACTATGCTAAGGCCTCTAAAGTCAGGGATACATCCCCTTGTACAGAATAAAATGAACCTTCAAACAGTTAATAATCTGCTGGACCACACAGTTACTCAGAATGAGAACCAGGACTGATTCTGCCTACTATGCTATGTTTCATAAAAATCCTAAAACAATTTAAATGTACTATTTAGGAA